GTTCGTACATTCTGTCTAATGATTATTGATGATAATAGAAAAAGAATATGGATTATATTTTCTAAACATCTGTTCACATGACTTATAAGTTAAGCAATAGTTATTTTGGAAAATATGAATAAATAATTAAATATACATATTGATATGATATATAAAACCTTGTAGAACAATCTCTAATTCAAATTTATCTTGAAAATCTTTAGTATCCATAAAGAGCTTTATTACGTTGCTATTCGCCAAAATTACAAATGTTTCTCTTTATCTATCTATGAAACTAAATTAATATGATTATATCTATGAATAAATATTGAAGTATTTTGCATTTTCTTCTCTAATACTTTTATAAAACTCCAAGAATGTAAACTTTTCTTTTGAAATAGAAAGCATTAGGGTGGCTTTTTTTCGAAGAAAATAATAGTGAAACTTGGGGAACTACACATCTAAATTATGCTCTTTCTCTTTTACTTTATTCTAAATTGATATTGCGTTTCTCAATTTTTTCACTTAATTACAAGAGTGGTGATTAATTTCATTTCACTTCAAACATGCAGTACAATGATCTGATTCATCAAGAGCCTATTTATATCTTCTTCGATGATTACATCATGCCATAACAAACCTAGACAGAAGAGAAAAGTACTTTCCGTATTCTTTTTTTTTCTGTAATAAGAATTATAATGTTGATGAGCGCATCTTCATCTCCATTCTTTTCAAGTTTGCTAATGTGCATTTATTCATTTCACTTATCATTTTATTCATCATTTAGTTGTTCACTATAGTATTCGAAAGTTTTCATACAACCTACTGTTTTTGTAATTTATATTTTATTGAAGCATAATGAGTGAAATAAGTGTTTTGACTATCATTGCAATCATTCTTCTTATATTTACTATTATATTGGCTTTGATTTATTTAATCCCAATCATATTTCTTCAACGTTTCCATAATGTCAACAATATAATCACTGCTAATCTTTCTTTCGCTATCATATGTTGTGCTGTCTATTGGACTTTTCTTCTTATTGATGCAGTATTATATCCTGATGTTTTATATGATGGTAAAGTTTGTACTATTTCGAACTATTTTGAAATGATGTGCAATCTACAAGTAGCACTTGCTATAGTTGAAGCATCATTTAATCGTCTTTGTTCAATAGTTTATCATACAAAACTCTTTTTAAGAACAAAAAAATGGGCAACAATATGCATTGTAAGTCAATGGACAACTGGCATTATTCTTACAATACCAAATATATCATTTAATGATTCAGTAAGTTATTTGAATTGATAGATCGATTCTTAAAATAAAGAGATGATTTCGTTATAGAGTTGTGATGATCAATTATGGAAAGCAATTTATAGATTTGTGATGATTGTGATTGTTCCATCAATAATATGCTTAATGAATAATATGATGATTTTCAAGTATGTTCGTTCTTCAACAAACCGTGTTCAAACATCATTAGAAAATGCAAAGAATAACGCACAACAACATCAACATCTTAGTCGTCGTGATTTACATTTACTTCGACATATGATTGTTATGTTTTGTATATTTATTGCAGGGTGGAGTCCGATTTATATATGTGCAGCTATTGGTAGTGCAATCTCTATTACTTCAACAATAGCTTCAGTGTTTATTATATTAGCTGAATTATCTTTACTGATTGATATAAGTAATCTATTCTTGTATAATCATGAATTACGGAGATATTATCGAGAGAAAATATGTCATCGTCATTGAAAATAAAAACTTAATTTTACTTTTTAATTGTTGATGTAATATTATTTTATGCTCATTTATAGTTGAAAGAAAATAATTGAAATAAAAATAATAATTTTTTTGAACGACTGACTTGGTAATCATGAAAACTTTGAACTAATGCAGTGAAGCACAACTACTTGATAGTACTATCAATTCATATTTGTTATTTTAAAAAAGGAGTATTGAGATGGGTGTGAGTATGGATGTAGATGCGAGGCAAAGAGTATCACCCGCACTTACCCTCAGGATTATACACAACGAGAGAAAAGAAAAAGAAAAAATATATACTAGACTGTGACGTTTTATTATTGTACATTAAAATTCTAGTTTCTAAATCTTTTTAAGTGAATATTTTTCTTGTCGACATTTTACTTTCGTCATTTTGACACCTCACCTTTAAGAAAGTTACTGTTAAAATCATGTTTTTCTAAAATAATACCAAACATAATACAAACTTTTGTTTTTATATAACAATTTATGAGACAAGCTTTGACATTAAACCTCAGTTCTTGTTGTTTCATATATTCTTACAGTAATGTATAAAGGCATCTGTACGTAACAAAATAAACTTTTCTTTTCAAATAGAAACCATTAGAGAACGTCTTTGTTTTTCAAGAACATAATAGTGAAACTACACATCTAAATTATGCTCTTTCTCTTTTACTTTATTCTAAAGAGACATTGAGTTTCTCAACTTTTTCCTTTCATTACAAGTTACGTGATTAATCTCATTTTACTCTAAACATGCAGTTCAATGATTTTGGTCATCAAAAGTCTATTTATACCTTCCTCGATGATTACATCATGCCATAACAAACCTAGACAGAAGAGAAATAAAGTTACCACATTCTTTTTTTTTTCTGTGATAAGAATTGTAATGTTGATGAGTTCATCTTCATTTTCACTCTTTTCAAGATTGTTAATATAGATTTATTCATTTCACTTATCGTTTTATTCACCATTTAGTTGTTCACTATAATATAAAATTTTTTTTCATACAATCTACTGTTTTTTGTAAGCGTTATTGTATTGAAACATAATGAGTGAAATAAGTGTTTTGAATATCATTTCAATCATTCTTCTTATATTTACTATTTTATTGGCATTGATTTATTTAATTCCAATCATATTTCTTCGTCGCTTTCATACTGTCAACAACATAATTATTGCTAATGTTTGTTTCGCTACAATATGTTGTAGTATCTATTGGCTGTTTTATATCATTATGGTATTGTTTCATCCTAATGTTTTATATGATGGTACAGTTTGTACTATTTCAAACTATTTTCAAATGATGTGCATTCTACAAGTATCACTTGCTATAGTTGAAGCATCAGTTAATCGTCTTTGTTCAATAGTTTATCACACAAAACTCTTTTTAAGAACAAAAAAATGGGCAACAATATGTATTGCAAGTCAATGGACAACTGGTATTATTCTTTCATTTCCAACTATTTTATTTAATGATTCAGTAAGTTATTTGAATCGATTGATTGATTCTTAAAATAAAAAGATGATTTTGTTATAGAGGTGTAGTGATCAATTATGGAAAGCAATTTATAGATTTGTGATGGTTGTGATTATTCCATCAATAATATGCTTGGTGAATAATATGATGATTTTTAAGTACGTTCGTTCATCAACAAATCGTATTCAAACATCACTAGAAAATGCAAAGAATAACGCACAGCAACATCAACATCTTAGTCGTCGTGATTTATATTTACTTCGACATATGATTGTTATGTTTTGCATATTTGTTGTAGGGTGGAGTCCGATTTATATATGTGGAGCTATTAATATTGTAACCTCTATTACTGTAACAACACGTTTTGCGTTGATTATAATATCGGAATTATCTTTATTGGCTCTTATAAGTAATCTTTTTTTGTATAACCATGAATTACGACGATATTTTCGTGAGAAAATATGTCATCGTCATTAACAATAAAAACTTTATTTTACTTTTTAATTGTTGATATAATACTCGCCATGAAATCAAGAATAAGAAGTGAACATTAACTAACACGTAATAATAGGTATTTAAATAAGCAATCAATGTTTATTGACTGATAGAGAAGGATGAGTCGAACACTTGCAAACATCTAAAGCCTGTGTGTGTCTAGCTTAATGAGCTGGTTGTACTAGACGAAAGAAAAATTTTTATTATCTATACAATTACATGGCAAAATATTGTGTGATCTGTAGGCAATCACAGTAGACAAATGATATTACGAAGTACTGGGCGAAGAACATCACTATTTTCTATCAAATTATGTTCAGCAATCGATCAAATAATTTAAGTTGAATAAGATAAAGTCATTGTTAGTATTGTTCATGGAATCAATCAGTTCACTGAACCATTTTTCGTTAAATTTTTTCTAATTGCAAAACAACAATCAAACAAAGAAAATGAATTCTATGTAATAATATATCATTAATTACAAGAAAAAAAGTCAAATAAAAAATATTGACTAATCTTTCTCTATTTTTCATCATTCAGAAGTTTGTTAATGTCACATCTCTTTTCAATTTGTCCTTATCAATTATGTGCTTGTTTCCGTAAAAAGAAAATGGACTTTGTTTTTACATAAATCCTTCTTGAAAGTTAATTATCCTCTATAATGTTAGAAGTAGCAAATATTCTAATACTTATTCAAATCGGTATTTTCATATTTTTCATCATATTAGCATTGATTTATTCAATTCCTATTCTACTTATTCGTCGTTTTCATAATATCAATAATATATTCACTGCTAATCTTTGCTTTGCTACAATATGTTGTAGTATATGCTGGCTTCTTAATCTAATCCTCGTATACTTTTATCCTAATCTTTTATCTTATATTAAAATCTGTGTTGCTTTAAACTACCTTCGAACAACATGTACTCTACAAGTACCACTTGCTATAATTCAAATTTCAGTTAATCGGTTTTGTTCTGTAGTTTATCATACAAAATTCTTTTTTAAAACCAAACAATGGGCAATGATATGTATTTCAACTCAATGGATTCTTGGTATTTCTATTTCATCAATATGGCCTATAATCTTTCATTCTGTAAGAATTTATTTTTTAATTAAAATTCCATAATGGAATTATTTTAGTAACTTAAATTTATAAATCATAATTTTAGACGTGTGAAGTACCAATATGGATAGAAGTTTATGGATTTTTGCTAACTGTAATCATTCCATCATTAAGTTTTACTATTATCAACATTATGACCTTCAAATATGTTCATTCTTCAACAAATCGTGTTCGATCATTATCAGTAGTTAGCAGGAACAATCGACATCGACATATTAAGCGTCGTGATTTACATTTGCTTCGACATATGATTGTTATGTTTTGTATATTTGTTGGAGGATGGAGTCCTATCTTTGTGTATTCATTAATTGTCTTCACAACTCCTAACGTTATAATAATCCAAATTCTCATGATATTAATTCAAATTTCAGCCATACTTGGTGTTATGAATCTGTTTTTCTATAATCATGAACTACGAAAATATTTATTTGAAAAGATTCTATTTGTTATGAAATGTTTTGTAATTCGTTAAGTATCAATAAAAATAACTCACCATGACTGAAATATATTTATCACCATCTTTTCTCAATTAACTGGAACTGTAATATCAGTTCATTAGAATGACAAGATACTTGAGAATAAAATTGACTACGAATAATTTTATGAATTTAGGTTTGTAAAGATAGATTAATCCATTCTCTCGTATCTGATATGTATGTAGCCTCGAATTTGAACTAACCTATATACGAAAAAATAACAAATTACTCGTGAACAATCTTCTTCCTTCTCACAAATACAAATAATTCAAAAAACAAGCTTCATTCAAACTTCAATATATATAATCCGCTCCATTTATAAAAAAAACTTTTCTTAATAAATATCTGTTTATTTAGAATAATGAACTCTTTTTATAATCTCTCTAATGTGAATTTATTTACAACATTATATTGATATGCTTCGTTTTTTTTCGTATGAATTAAGATTAAACTCACTTCACATATGAATTCGATTGTCATGTATGTGAAAAACAGAATGATATTATAAAACAAACTAAATCTCTGAAAGAAAACTGAGCTAATCAATAATTTAGAGTCTCACCTAACTACTGCTCATATGAACTTACACTTAAAAGGGACAAACAACATCACGAATCTTTTATTCTGTCTTGAAACTAAGATTATTTAATATCTATTCCTTAGTTCATAGTAAATCATGTATCAACAATCTACACTGAACAATTTTCCATATTCTCTGTCTATAGATATGTCTGAAATATTCAATTACTGATATTCAATCTAAATGTATTTTTAATTGACAATAGCAAAAATATCAATGTCTACCAATTTGTTGATTAACGTTTGATCATTTATCTTACATAAAATATAGAAAACTGACACCATCTTGATGATGATGTAAAATATATTTCATCAATTGACGATTACTTGTTATCAACAATTCAATAAGAAAATTAGGCAATTGATCGTCACAGACTATTATAACATATTAACAAAATTAGAAGCAGTATACACATGTTCTATTAATCAATTAACATAGCAGCTTGCTTCTTTCTTTCTCTCCCTCTATTTATCAACTTCGTTCACACTTATCTTCTCTTTATAACTCCTTATACATCTTCATTTTTTTCACTTCAGTCAATCAACTGCAAAATAAATTCAAACATCGGCTTTGATAATCATATTATTAATTTTTATAAAATTTAAATTTCATTCTATTATAGGATGTCAACTGATATTATGTTTCACAAAGCTGAACAAGAAGCTCTTCTTGGTAAGTTATATAATTATTGATAAGAATAGCTATATTCTAATTTTGTAATATTTAGCTGGTCATGGTCGTGTTAATCAACTTGGTGGCGTTTTTATCAATGGGCGTCCATTACCTGATGATCTTCGTCGACAAATTATTGAAATGGCAACTAAAGGAATTCGTCCTTGTATGATTAGTCGACAAGTATGTAGAAATTATCTCATAGAAAAGTTTTCTTCACTAATTCTTTCTATTTAGCTTCGAGTATCTCATGGTTGTGTATCAAAAATACTTTCTCGTTATAATGAAACTGGTTCTTATAAACCAGGTGTAAGTCATCGACGACAAATCAAAGTTAATAATCGACAATTCGAAAATGATGATGATATAACAACGGAAGAATCAGATGAAAGTAAAAGTAAGATTATTTAAAATTTCTATTAGCATAATGTATTAATGTGATATGTTTAGATAATTCACTTAACGACACATTACCGTTACGTCCAAATTTAACTACACGTCGTTTTCGTTCATCATTCACTAGTGAACAAATTGATATTCTCGAACAATTCTTTTCTCATACACCATATCCAGATGTCACAACTCGAGAAAATCTTTCACATCGTTTAGACATCGAAGAAAATCGTCTTCAAGTATGGTTTAGTAATCGTCGTGCACGTCAAAAAAAAACAGCAACAACAATTTCTACATATAATGAAGAAAATACAGTACCATCATGTTTTACACCATCTACATTTGATACAAAACCATATACAATGAATGATAATATGTTTGATCCAATGATAACATCAAGTCCGACAACAAGTATGTTTACCATTTATTGTTTATTTGATATATTCATATTACGAATGTTTTTTTTAGATTATTGGTCTCCAGTATCTTCGATGCCTTATCAATCGACGAATGGTTCATATTATCCATTAACTGATCATTATTATTCACCAAATATGCCATCGGTTTATCCTAACTATCCTATGTCATACTCGCCTTTTCCTTCCTTTTGTTAATTTGTTTATTGTAAATTTTCTTGAATATTTATTTTTATTTTGTACTATTTGTGACTTAAACTGTTCGGTTAATGAATTGAATTGTTTTCAAATAAAATTTGGAAACTATAACTTGCTTCATCGTATTAAAGTAAAGAAATTTGATTGAACGAATGATTTCTCTAACATTGATGATAAATACAGTAGAATTTTTACTCTTTGAATATCTTGGAAGAATGAGTATTTTGGATTATACTTTATAGCAATTACAGTTATACATGATGTAATAAACCATAATATTTTGGAGAGCAATGAATAGCAGAAAAATTTGATGAAATAAATATTTTCTTTTTATTAATATTATGTTTTTATTGTTAGTAGTTATTTTGTAATAGAATGGTTTTTATGCGATATTTTCAACGATTACTGTTACTGTAATTGAATTTTAAAATAATGTTATTACGAAATTATAGAAATCAAAATGACAAGAAAGTTATTAGTATAATTCTTGAATGCCTTTTTTTAGGTTAATTTTATTCATAAATAATTTATCGTCTTATCACAACCTTGATAGTTTTTTTCTGTTCTGAAGTTTAAACTATTACATGTGCTATTTTTTTTTTGTATTACCTACAAGCAAAATAAAGGGGTGCATGTCAGCACCCCTGAATCTGAATAAATACAGATATTCTTATGATATATAAAGGATGTTTTATATACGTAAGTTATCAAGAGAATCATTTATATAAGGTTGTGATTTTAATCAGTAAGTAGATATACAATTTTTAATATTTTTTATTTCGAATCTTATTCATCATTACAAAAAAAGTAAACTATATTTTTTTAGTCTTATTATTAAGCCCATCGTCCAACAACTGACATAGCACCAACACCTGCATATAATGCAATAAAATATAATAATTTTAATCGTTTTTTTAATGTATGGAATGCATGTGCGCCAACACCCATTTCAGCTGTAATTAAATTAACAAGAGCTACATAAATAAGAATACCGGCTGATATTGAATCTAAAATACCATTGACAAGTAATGATGCAATTGATTTTGGATTATAAGTTTTTGTATGTATCCCAATACCTATAGCGATACCAACTGGTGTTGTCAAAGCAAAAAATATAACCATCATGCCAGTTGATCGTAATGAAATACGATCTAAACGAGCAATTTGTGCACCAAGTGCAATTGCTTCAAAAAATTGATGAAAACTAAGTGCAATAAATAGAGCAATGAATGATTCTGTTGTTGTACCCAATGTTAAACCAATTAGAACAGAATGAAGAGCTATACCAAATTCAAGTAGATATGTACTTATTTTATGTTTTTGAATATCATCTTGAAAAGCAGCACCATGATAATGATGTGTTGAATCACAAAGTTCTTCTGTTGATGGTATGATTTCGACTACTGAAATTTGAACGGGTTTTTGATCTTTTATTTTAGATCCTTCATTTATTGGATAAGGTTTAGACGATTTCATTGATTGATATCGTTGATGTGCAATAAATTCAATGAGCTGCATAATAAGTGCAGCTAACATAGCAAAAAGACCGCCATAAGCACTATAGACATTCCAAGAATCTGGTAAACAAGGATCAGTTAAAGATTTCATTCCAGGTGGTAACATATGAATAAAACCAGTTGCTAGTACAACTCTAGAGAATGAAAGAAAAACATCTGTTTTTTCTAGATTTATAATGATATTTATTTCACATACCCACTACCAAAAAATTTTCCTGTATTAATAATAACTGGATTAATATGTAAACGTTTAACTCGTGTTGAAACAACTGAAATAGCAGCACCAACAAAAGATACAATTAATAAAACAAAAATTGATATAATACGATGAGTTAAATTATATGAATGATTTATTTCTTCATCTGTTAGTATACATTCATTGCTTCTTGGTGTTGTAAAATTACTAGCTGCACTCATATTTAATAATTGTAGCTTGTTTTTTCTTCACGTATCTTTTGGTATGGACAAATAATGCTTAGCGGTCTTTTTTTTGATAATTGTGCTTAAATACTTTCTCTATCGTCAACCGATAGAAGGAGGTAGATACACATAAAAACACTTGTAAAACATTTCTTTTTTTCTTCGTATACGAGTCCTACTTTCTCTCTCTCATTTTGCTGTTTTTTATTTAACTATGCAAACAAACATAACATCAGAAGGTTCTTTTCATGTACGTTTGATATTGTCGCTTCATAGATATATGTCTTTTTCATATATAACTCTAATAAATACCGCTTTTATTTTACAAGTTGTAGCTATATCGTTCTATTTTTAAGTGTTTTATAGCATATAACATCAGGTAATGGCAAGTTTTGTATGCAAACAGAAATTCGAAAAAAAAATGTTCTCATTTATAACAGTATTATAAACCTTTAAGTTATAGAAGTCGTAGGGTTATAAATAAAAATACTATTGTACTTTTAGCTTGAACCTAGAATTTATAATGTAAAAATGAGATCCAAGTAAATGTATTTTATCATCATACAATAAAAAAATCATCGATAGTTCATATATTGATTTAAATCAAATGTTATATTTTTGGGTAATAGCTAATGTACGATTGTATATTAATGAAGCATCAAAATCTTCTCCTATTTCGAATTCATATTTTTTCTGATTCAACTAATGTTAATAAATGGTATTCAATAAATACTATATTTGCTATTGGATCATAACGAAATAAATAATCAGTTAGTACAAATGTAGAATTATTTGACAATGGATCGAATCGTTGAAAATATATGTTCAAATGAAATAGTTAATAAAATATTATTTAATGACATTAATGATATGAATAATACAAGAGAATAAGCAACAAAAATTTTAATCTGAATATTACGTGAATAAATTGATGAAAATAAATGAATTATACTATTATAATCAACAGTATTTTCCGATAATATTTTTTGACAAATATTAGATAGCTTTTACCTGTACTGATTGTAAGATTTAAATTTCCTAACAACAAATGAGTTTGATTAAAGTGATAAATAAATGGATTTGAAATTCTATCCCATTTAAGATTTTTAATTATGTAACTAACAATAAAGGAATAATTCGTCAGAATACCCACTAAGTGTGATGAATATCTTATCGTGTATATTCCAAGAACAAAGATGAATCGAATGAATATAAATGGAAAAAATAACAAGAAGACGAACGCATATGAATGCAAAAACAAAAAGGAGTGAAGCATACCATAAGCATATATCATCATGCGTAAGCTATATCATAAAAGATGAAACGAAGAAAGAATGTATATATGATATAGAACGAAGAGGAGCAAGAGATGAAATGTATAAAACATCCAAAATATATCGAAGATAGAGTGAGATTTATGTGTGTGAGAAAGAGGAAAGAGAGTATATCATGTCCAGTGGACATGACAGTTATTTCACAAAGAACAGGATATTTATGTTTTGAATATTTACGTACAAAGACTGCTTGAATTAAAAGAATATTTTCAATAATAAACAGACGAATATATCATAGTATCTCTTTATCTGTTGTATATCTATCAAGTCAAGCAACTCGTTATTCGAAGGTAATAAGTTGATTTCATTTTTGTGAGCTTTTAGTATTCTAAAAATATCCGTTCCCGAAAATCGAAAAGGTTTGCGAACATTCAGAAATTGTTGAATTTTCAAAAATACCAAATTCGATCCCCAAAAAGTATTCTGGAATATTCTTTTTCGCGCTGAAAAGCCTATTAGTATTTTCGGGAAATATATAGACATTTTAAGGGTTTCCAGTAGTTCTGAAACTTTTTTGCGGAAACTCTTAGCGGATTTCCGATAGTAACAAACTCAGAAGCCCTCATTCAGTTTCTGAGAATATTTTTGTTTCTAGAGTTAACACGCATACTACACATTATTTTAAGTCTTGACTGTAATCAGCAAATTCCAGCTACATTTACAATTGATTATTATTTACTCAATTGATTTATCCAACCACGGTATTTCTAAGGTACAGTGTAAATCTTTTCGAGAAGTTTCTGTAATGAAAGTTGCTTCTATAGCGTTTTTTTTATTGCAAGATCAGATATCACCATCTATAATCTTTCGTATAGTTTTTTAGATAAAAATAGACAGTGTAAATGTAGTTTATTTATATTAGAACTAATACAAGACAGAAATATATGACATTGTTCAACGTCCAAATGGTCATTTGTTTTGTAATTATTCGTGTATTTTCAGATATAGCTGTTTTTTAGGCAGAATAATGTAATTTGAAATACGTATTGTAATATCCATCCAGGGTTTTTCTTATTTGATATACTTTGTATTTTAATCTTTATACTTCTTTTTTGTGTTTAAGGTTGAAAAATTAAGTTGACATGAAAGGAAATCATCGTATTTGTAATGATTACTTTTTTCTGATCATTTCTATCCATATTGATATTTATATTTTCATCCACAAGATTTAGTGGTAGTAATGTTAGACAGGGTGGACAAAATTTGTATTGCTCTTCTTCGTTGCGGTAATTTTAACGTATATATGTTAGTTAATGCAGATTTGTATATGAAATTTGCGTCTAGAGTGGACACTAACAAAGTATAGAATTTTCTTGTTCATACTACTGATAACTAGTTCATTTATCTGCCCATCGTGATCTCGACAAAACACGTGAACGTAAACTATTGCATTTTCTTTTCTCTATAATTTTAGCTTTCTTTTCCTCTACCTTATATTCGTATACATATATATATTTCTTATAGAAACGAAACAAAAAAGAATATAGTATTCGAACAAATGTCGAATCTCTATCTATGTCCAGATGGTAAGATACTTTCATTCTAAATTTAGATTATCTTATTTTTCAATCATAGATTTTTGGCGTTGTCCAATTGATTTAAATCATCAAGTGCTTGCTAAACGATTTCAATATCATATTCGACGATGTATGATTGTAAGTTTGGTATTTTTATTTCTGTAGTTTGATTTGAAAGAATATTTGACATATTAAATTCAATTTCATACTATGATGAATTTCTTGCTAGGCAAATCCTCATATTCATCGTGTTCGATGTGTTTTCAATGCAAGTCATTTAACAACACCAAGTAATTTACTTGCTCATATGTCAACATGTCCTGATGCACTTACTACAAGTACTGTGCTTATCGGTCTGTCAGATATTCGTAAGTATTTTAATTAGAAAAAAAAACATTAAAATAGATAGAAAAATTTATATCTATCTTAGCACCTGGTCGGCCTTGGTCTGATAATTGTCATCGATCATCTTTACCAACTGATTGGCGAATGTTTCAAGATGTCAATGCTAATGAAGATTGGGATGGTATTTATTATAATCATAAGTTTTTTTTTAACATAGCTTATATATTGAAATAGATGATATTCGTGAACGACGAGCAAAAAGTGCTGCAAATAGGTGAATGACAACGATATTATTAATTACTATACATATATTATTTTTACTTCTAGTGAACAAACTATGAACTTATCATCAATTCAGTTTGTATTTTCTTTTCAAAATAATTTTTGTTTTCTATACTATGATTTTTTTATTAAGAACATCAACACCATCATTATGTGTTACAAATCAGTTGAATGATACCAAACAAGAAGAAGTTGATCATGATATATATAAATTAAAATATACTGAAGATATAAGTCAAATGACAAGAAAAAATGATCACAAATCTGCAGCAGTTAATAAACAAGCGCGTATGTTTTCCAAAGCAATTTTATACAAAACATTTTCATCGTATTCACTCTATTATAGTTGTTTTCGAAGAACATGATAACGATGGACAAATTCATCCAGCTGAAACAGATGACATCAAGTAAGATTTATCTCTAGTGACGACTTCTATCAGATACATATCTACAAAAAACAAAAGATTTTCTATTTTAATCATATTTTAAAACTATTATTCTACTACAAACTGATTCTGCTAATTTCTCATAAGTTCTTTAAGCTATAGATTATTCTATGTTAAAAATAAAATTAGTTTGATATTTTTGACATTATAATTGTATTAGCTCAATACATTCTATGTTTCACTTTGATTGATGTATAATACTACTACTAAACAAAATTAATTGTAATTAGAGTCATGAAACCATATACAAATAATTTGTTTTTTTTATATGATATATCTAATTTTATACGAATATAAGAGACATTTATGCGCAGTAATATTTCATTTGGATAAGGTTAACATGACCTATCTTATTCATATCAAATCTGCGTTGTCTTACTGAGAGAAACAATTTTAAGTATCATCCATATCTTTTTTTTCTCCTATTTTAGTAAAAATTTGATGAAGATTCGAACATTACAATTAATTGGTGGTGCAGGTCGTGGTAAATGTTGCTTATTACGCACAACTCCACCAGTACGTGTAAATATATTTTCCATTTTCCATTATCATAATTATAAGTATTAAGATATGTCATTTTATCTTTATCTTCAGACTCATCTGCCACGTAAATCGACCTGATGGATAATTATATCGATTTTGTTTTGTTCTTTTTACTTTTTTCCTTGTTTTTTTCCGTCATTATGAACATGATTTGAAAAAAGAAAAATGAAGAATTAAAGCAATTATATCTTGTTTATTCTACCATATTTATAAGCTAAACTAATCTGTTATCTATCATCATAGTGTCTATTTTCTAACTGTCATCTATAAAACATACTTTCGTCGTTAACGAATGATTGTATCGCACATATATACTCAATAGATCATTTATGGCAGTGGCCTTGAAGCTTATCATGTAGTTGTTGACATTAACATTAGAGAGAAAGAAAGTATATAATACATCAGTTAACTATTATCTTGCCTGCTGTACTATAAGATTCTATCTTGAATATACCAGCATATCTCCTTATATACAATAAAATGATATCGAAAGTTTTTCTTCTTACTATCTTTTTGTATTGTAAGTTATAATAAAGATATTATAAATAAAAGTTCTTATTTTTTATAGTAACTGTAGTTCAGTTACAAGTTGCTTGTGCTAAGATCTGCTATCAATGTGACGATAAAAATCCATCTAGCAAATTAAAATTCATCGGCGAAAAGATTACAAAATGTAATGGTGTTGCATTTGAAAAATATGCTACAAAAACTTCAAGAGCTTTTGGTGCTGCCGTTTTAACATGTTATACGGTAATATTTTAATTATAACTATTCATAATTTTATATCAATAGCTAGAAAAATATCTATAAGATAATAACAATATATTTTTATATTTTAAGAAATTCAACGAAACTGGTGGTGTCGTTAAACGAGGTGCATTTGGACTTGGTGAAACATATGATAAAAATTTTAAATGTCGTGATCGTTTTCATGTATGTTGTCGTACAGCCTTTTGTAACAAACACGCCAAAGCTCCTTGTCCACCAACACGTTAGTATTAAATTCTGTAACTTCCATATTGTATAACTAAAAACTATCTTTCTAATATAGCTAAAGCAACAACAAAGAAAGAAGTAAAAGCATGTTATCAATGTAAAGGAGCTGAAAATTGTAAACCAGAAAAACTTGATGGATCTGAAATTCGTACATCAGGTGCTTTTGGTGGCAAGAATTTATACTGTTTTACTGTAAATAAAAATATTTTTGTTATCTTCCAGATTTTATTTATTTTCTTTTATTGAATAGAAATTCGATCCAAAGACAGGTATTGCTGTTGCTCGTGGTGGTTTCGGTTTTGGTGAATCAATCGATAAGAATCTTAAATGCGATGCCAAACATTATTTATGTTGTTATGACAATTTATGCAACAATCAAACAGCTGGTTTCTGTGCTAAACCAAAATAGTTCAATCAATTAAAAGAGACTAAATTCTAAATGTACGTGTGCTGTGTGCTTGTGTGAACATTTTTTATTTACATCATTTATTTTACTTCATAATAAATAATAAGTATAAAATCTATAGATCAATTAAAAATATGATTAATTATTATAACAGACATACAGTATGAATTTCTATTAATAACTCTTTAGATACAAAAACAGATTATAGAAGATAATAGCAATAAAAGACTCATTGATGAAGTTTTCTTTTATCGGAAACCATGTGAATTCAAAAAGTGTCATATTTAAGTGCAAATTGAAAAGAATAAATATAAATTTTAATATAAAATATATCTAAAGGACAATTAATTAAAATTTCATTAAAAAACTTTCTTCGGCAAAGAATTATTTTTATAATATGTCTGATGCAGCGATGAAAATTTAATTATGTCTAAGAGAGAGAAAAACAACAATAGATAAGCTTCTGGAAAATTATATCAATAATATTAGATAATACTGATGAAATTAAACAATTAATAAATATGCTATAATGAATTTTTTATTTATAGAACTTTCACATTGAAATAATCTTTCATATTATAATCGTAATAATTCACACTATTTCATTTAAAAGTGTTAAACTTGTTAGATAATGATGTGTTAAATAATTTATGTAGCGAGAAATAAGTATCGGTCTATAAAAATAACGCTTAGAAATAGTATAATTTACTAATATATGTGCAAGACTGTTAGTCATTAAAATATGATTATGTTCATTTATTTAAAATGTCTATTACGAACTTTGATAATGTTTTTACTGAACAGCAGACTATACGTAGATGTCAAGTAAATATTATGATCGATAAATTATCTTATCAGTATTACTTAAAATACTATTCTGTTGGTTTTTGGCTAACAAATAAAGGAAGTTTTTTTCAAAATAACATATGACTATATTTTTATTAATTAGAAAACCTGACAATATATTTATTTTATTGATAAAATTTTTTATTTGATCTACGTTACATTAACAACCTGTTGTTGTTTTGAAATTATTTCTTCTATTGATAAAAGTTTCAAGTGCACAGGTCAAATTAACCATAAGTAGATGAAAGAATCTATTGATGTGAGTATTTGCTTTCTTTTTTTATTAAGTCATTGATGTGCGTGATGTTGAACAGATGAAATTTATTAATCTTTAGTCAGCTTTTTTCTCTACGGTATGATATTTCAGAAAAAAAAATTTTATGGTTTCTTTCACGACTATTTTTAATATGAGTAGGAGACAGTGTCATCTATTATTCAACAGTTTGACAAATGGTAGGAAAAAAAATAATTTAGAGTCAAACCATTGATCTTAATAAAAGACAGAACGAATAACATTAGTTAATCTAATGTGACGGTCACTTCACTGTTTTCTTTATTTTTTTATTGTCTCAAAGAAGGAAAATAATTAGTCAATATTATTGCAATTCATCAAAGAAAAATATAGATTATTAAACGCGATTTTTATCCATGTACACATTTCTGTCAACAGATGGACGACAAAATGAAAAATGAGAAAGCAAAAAAAAAGACGACCGATCATTGAGGGAAATATTGAATGTGAAACATCTGCTTAAGGTAATATTTTTTCTTTTGTTGGTGATGTTGATGCTTGCGGATAGTGATTGTTTGTTGATGACACTATTGATGAATCCGGTTCAGCAAATAATGGATTACGTACTTCCATTTCACCTGTCTATAAGTTTAAAGAAAGAAATATTGTATTTATAAACAAAAACATCGAATTTTAACATACTGGAGCAAGGCCAGGACATTCATATACTGTAAAATCTCCTCCTGCTGGAGCTTCATCATCTGAATCGTCTGAATTAGTTGCTTTTGCATCTAAAAGATCTCTAATAAAAAGAAAATAATGAATGAGTCATATTTTGCCGTATAAAATTCTATATAATATACTTTTCTTGTGCCATCATTTGTTGACGTTGATGTTGATAATGATACATTTGTGCACTTTGAGCCAATTTTCGATCCGACATAGTCGAACTTGGTGAGATTTTACTACCACTTGAATTTGGTCCAGTAACGCCATATGATGGATATTCAGAATCAACAGCTGCTTCTGCTTTCTTTTGAATCCTATTAGAAGAAAACAAGATTCTCATATTTATTAAATAATATTTATAAAGCCTAGTAGTCTTTTCTCATTAATATCAAATAATTGATGTTCTTGAAATAAATTATTCTATCATCTTGTCTATAAGTTTTTTGTACTACTTATATATCAAATATTTTTCCAGGTAGTTAGAAATGAATCATATAAATTTTGTTTATTTAAATAATAATTCTACTAGAAATAATCATGATCTCTATTTTTAACTATTAACGTATATTACATGCAGACCATCTGTAATAATCATTAATGTTCTATTACACTCATGACTTTTTTCTTACGTTCTGTAAGGTCACGAAAATTCTTTTCTTTTTATTAAGTCAGTCATCATATATATATTATTCTTAAGACTTTTTTTTACGATATAAATACTTACTTATACCAAAAAATAGCTGCTCCAACAAGACCTACAACGCCAACTGCACAACATGTTGCGACAATTGCTAAAGAAAAAAAAAATTGATTACATCACATTTATATATTTATATATAAAGCGCATTCTTGTAGAGAAAAAAATCTTTCTAATTAGGTGAATATTCTTTTTACATATGATATATAATCTTTTTTTTCATAAAGAAACCCGCTCAACTATCGACTGGGTTATATTAAGATCCGGATAAGACTAAAAAGAATATTTATGAAGTCTGATAATCATAAGTTTGTTTTTTTTTGTAAGAAGAGAAAATGCAATGAATTTTTCCATTATCTGGAATATTCTAAGGCTGTGGGTGATCTGTTCAAGATTTCTAAGGTCATAAAAAAAACTTCTTGTTTTTATTCAATATTTCAAAAAACAAACTAATTTTTATAGTTAAAATTTTCAAGAATATTACTCATATTATACGGCTTGTTAATAGATCGAATTTCCGATGTGAAAACTCTATATTATGGCATACTTTGTCAAACGTTAAAAATTCATAGAATTTTACATAATTGCAAGAGAATAAAGCACTCGTTAACGTTTCTTCTTAAATTTTTATTTCTAATGATGGTTCTTTCACCAATTGAAGTCTTTTACTAACATGCAATATTGTCTCTTTTCAACATACATATTTGATAGAAACTTACTGATAAATAATGTATCATTTCGTTGTCCTTTTTTAGCAGAACGTACTCCAGCATTCGATTGTAAACGTTCAGCTCGTTCAATAATACTATCTGGTACCCATGGTTCTTCAAAAAGATTTTCATGATGAACTTCAGAAACTTTGTCAACAGATTCTTTCGTTTCTTCTTTATCATCATTTATTTTATTTTCCATTAATTCATCTGAAAGATACCGTTCTTTCAACTGTTGAAGATTTTCTATGAAAATAAATAATGTTAATAATAAATAACTTTTTTTTTACATACTCGGTAAAAGTTCATCGACGGTTATTCGACGTTTTGACGCTGCTGCTGTATCCACCAATGTTTCCCAATCAAACGTATCCCCTCGTTCTATAAACAAAAAAAAATTATTTAGAAAAGTCCATCAAGGATTAGTTTTATCCAAAATGAGGAAACAATATTTTGCTTTTCTACACTTATATATATGACTAGCTGAAGCTATAGTACTAACACTCTATAGAAAGACTAAGTTTTTTTCTTTTTCCGCTTTATCGGCATGCAATATAATAAATAAAAACAAACGAATAGCATTCTTTTATATTTTCCTATAGATATGATTATTTTCAAAATAAAAAAAAAAAATATTACTTTCAAATTCTGCTTGTTCAATTACAGAATCTGGTATAAATTCATCACTAACTGGTTTTTTTGTTGTTTCTTCTATAATTTTCGGTGGTTGTATTTGTTGTTTTGACGAATGTATTTTTGGTAAGGGAAGGTAAAAAATGCGCGAAGCATCAATGGTTGTTGTTGCAACAAGGATAAGTAGGACAACGTGGCTACTCACAAATATTTTCATCATTATTATTTATTCTCGAATGTATGTATATATATATATATATATTATTTCAGTGCTAAGAATTCTTCACCGGTGACGTTGCATGCGTGTTTGTTGGGTCACACGCACACAAAACACTCAAATGTCGTTGTAAGCGTATGGAAGCCGGTCGATAGTGCTCTTGTTTTTGTTCAGATTTTTTTCTATAGGAAAAAATTCCTTTTTTTTTCCTCTCGCTTCTTCTACATCTTTTGTTTCTTTTTTTCCGAGCGACGATGATGACGTTCATTATATAAGCTATATACAACGGAAGAAAAATACGCGTGCATTACTGTCGAAGATGAGACAAAAAAAAAAAAAAGAAGAAAAAGAAATTGCATTTATAGGCAACAACATTCGCTCGTTCTCTAACTCATACTTAAACAACCTAGCGCATTCGACGGTTACAAGGAAACGATAAGATTAGTTTATTATTGGATTGTCTTAAAATAAATAATTATAAAACAAGACATTATTTTTCAAAGGTTATATTTTTCAAAACTAAAAATAAGTTTTTTTATGTGGAAGTTTTCTTTTTATCCACCACTTGAATTCTAATTTTTTATCAAGTATAACAAGAATGAGCTTATATGATAGTGTTTTTCTTCCTGTGCACACATTTGTAGGAGAAGCATAAAACTTATTATACGACGACAACATATTTCAGTCTCTAATGGCAATGCCTGTTACTCTTTCAAGCAACATTAATGATTATTCAATTGATGTAACCGAAGATCGTTGGAGAAAAAAAACAATGAGGCAAATAGCTCGAAGTAATATAACAACGTACTATGGAAAGCCTACGAGAAGTTGTAATAACTTTGAATGAGGAAAAAATATTTACCTTTAAACACACGAATTGCAAGACAGGCATGTTGAGTATTTAGAAAAATTTGACTACAGAGTAAAACAAGAAATGATAATAATAAACGATCACGTATAAAAATCCAATATATCATTGTCGATAAGATTCAATAAATTTAAGTTTCACACAGTCAACTCCATAGACTGTAATTAATATAAACGTATCACAAAAAAAATAAAATATTATCTAAAAAATATATTAAACTTGTTCTTGACCACAACAAGAAAAAATAAAGAGAAAAAAAAATGATACCTATCGAACTTACTTTAATTATCTGAATGCAAGAATAATGAGGATTATTATAGATATTTTTGTACGCTTGGTTAATTGTATATTCAATCATAATGATCCTCATTTTTCTCCATAGTAACTAACTAACAGGTAATGTATCATTTGAAGAAAAAAAAACAAATTAATCGAATAGGTTATGTATGTTGCAATCTATGTAAAAATAGTTAAACGTTTTGTGTAGGAGTTGCATGAGTCTATTAATTATATTCTATGTTATGACGCACATCGAGCTTACGTCAATGTACAAATACATATTCTGAAGAAATAACCAGTACTGTCAAGACTTTTGAATATGTACAACAGATGTCACTCAAACCTTGCCTTTTCGAACGTTATCGATACATTACAAACTAGTATTTTATTTTATGTACTCCGAATAAAAATTGAAGAAAATAAGTTTTTACACAGAAAAAAATCCTTCTGAACGTCCTTCGACTATATCATTCAATAAACAGAACCAGAATTGAGCATGAGTTGGGCGTAAAAAAATGATTATTCTTTCGTTCGTTTCTTTTAACCAAGGTTATTATTTCACGTCCTTTTATTGTATTCAATTCAATAACGCAGAAATAAAATGTACTATTTCAATCATGCCGCTTGGCAACCTGTTTTACCGTTATCAGCAAATCGAAAAAGTTTATTTAAAGATCCACGTACAGATCTTCTTAGTATATTTCTTCTTCAAGTATTTATTACACTTATTCTATGCAAAATATTGGGCAAAATTCTTTCGTTTATTCATCAACCAGCTGTAATCGGACAAATTCTAGCCGGTATTATTTTAGGACCTAGTGCATTAGGTTTTATACCTGGTTTTAGTTCATTTCTATTTGCACCACATACATTAGATTCGCTTCAATTAGTTTCGTCATTAGGTTTAATATTTTTCATGTTTTATCTTGGACTTAAAATGGATCCAAATGAAATAAGACATGGTTGGCGTCAGACATTACCGATTGCGACAGCCAGTATTGCTATTCCAGTAGGTGTAGGATGTGTCGTTAGCTTATGGCTCTATAAAATGGTCTCACCTGATATTAATAAAATTGCATTTATGTTATTTATCGGTAATAAAAGTATCTTTTTCATGTACATATCTCATTGAGTATTTTCAATCATTCAGGTTCGGGTATTGGTTTTTCAGCATTTCCTGTTTTAGCATCGATTTTACAAGCAAATAATATCATAACAACACCTCTCGGTTAGTATTTTAGAGAAAATTGTTTTCTAATCTGAGTATTTTTGTTGTAAATCAAGGCGTTCTCATAATTAGTATTGCTGCAATTGAAGATATTGTCGTATGGGTTATATTAGCTATTGCAACTGCATTAAGTGAAGGTGGTCCATCAATAGGAGGCCTTTATACTCTTTTATTAACGTTTGCTTTTCTATTGATAATGTTTATTATTGTGCGTCCGTTACTCTCTCTTTTACATCGATATTATTTTCGTCGTAACGACGAACATAATATTTACTTAATAGTGATTTGTTTACTTATTCTCGTTGCCGCAGCATTTACAAGTGAAATAATTAATATTCATGCATTTTTTGGTTCATTTATTGCTGGTCTTATTATTCCTCGTCAACCAAAAGGATCAAATTTACATGAATTTTTATCTGTTCGTATTGAATTATTTTGTATAGAATTTTTTCTTCCACTTTATTTTACAAATTCTGGTTTAAAAACTCATTTATACATGTTAAATACTTTTCAAATATGGTATACACTAGTTAGTCTAGTTTTTATTGTTTCTTTGGCTAAAATAATACCTGTTACATTAATGACAAGACTGATAACAAGAAAAACTGAAACATGGTCTTATGCATTTGCAGTTGGAATTCTAATGAATACACGTGGTATTGTACAATTAGTTGTACTTAATGTTGGTGTTGAATTAGGTATATTATCACCGATTATTTTTGCGATGTTTGTTGTAGTAGCTGTTATTTTAATATTTTTTACAACACCAGTTCTTTATGTTGTTTATTTAAAAAATAACGCAATACAAAACAAAAAAGAAATAAAGGCTCCAGTATCAAAGAGAACTCATCTTTATACACATCCTATTGAACACATACCGAATAATCGATTATCAAAATCATATAGAAAATGGCGATTACAAACAACGTCAGTATAATTGTTGTTAAATTTATTTATTCAATAAACTATAAGATAATATGTAAACTGATTTTATTGTATTTTATGAGAATGTAAATTTAATGTTTGTTGCCAATAGAAAGACAAAATATTCGACAATTTCGTTCTGTATTCTGTGTGAAATACGAATTACATTCAGTAAAATATTAAATTATTTGATAACGGAAGTATGTCAAGGTCTGCGTGTAATCAATAGTACATAGAAGAAATGCAAATATTTTTCTTTCATCTTTATAAGAAATTGAACAACAGTCAAGTTCATATTCTCTATTTTCAAAGGCTTCATGTCAATCACTCGCATATGGCGAATGGTAAAATAATCTTAGTCTTCATTATACATTAATAAAATTATTCAATCAATCATGACGTTATTTATTGACAAAGGTAAAAGTACATTAGACTGTTTGCTTTAGTAATACCATTTGTACATGTTTTTTTATTGACAAATATCAATAGAAAAGAAAGAATATGTAAAGTAAATATATGATTCAATTTACAATCAAACGTATAAGAAGAACTTTAAATAATTTTATCATCCTCAGTAGGAATATGTGTAATTTTATAATGATCGAATAACAGCTGAACGACATGATTCACAATGCATTCCTATTATTCGCCAAAATTTCAGATGAAAATGATAAGCATAATATTATAATAAAATGAAATTTTGATGGACGAGAACGTATATATGAATAAATTAATGACAAGAATATAGGTCGATAGGGAACAAGAAATATATTTAATCCAGTACATTCAATACCAAATGAATTGAGAAACAACATAAAGAAACCACTAACAAGACTAGTAATCAAACCTATACGAATCATTTTATTTATCTATAAATTTCTTATATCAAGATTTATATATTTTCCTTTATTTTGAAGTTTTAACAAAAATGAATTTACAAAAACAAATTAGTTCTTTTTCCCTTATTATTACTATTCCGATGATGTTACACCATTTGTTGGTCGTTGTTTACGTAAATTAGTAACTTCTTTTTCTAATTCAACAATAGCACATTCAATTTCATAATTTTTTCCGACAAGACCAACCCACGTTTGTTCAAGTGCACCTAATTGACCACCTGCTTGTGTTTGTTCATTTTTCCGATTTGAATTTATTTCTTGAATACGTTTACTAAAAATAATAAAACATAAATTTTATTTATTTATTTGTTTGAAAAAATAGTTTTTACCGAAGTTCTAATAATTGTTTTTGTGCTTGTTCTAACATTGTTTGTAATGTTGTATTATAAATTTTCCATGTATTTGCACCATAATCCCACATTAATTCAAGATTAAGTATTCTTGTTTGTTGATGTTCGAGTTGAGCATAAGAATTCTCAACACATTCATTCCATGCTGTAAAGTCAGTTTGTTTACCGGCTGGAGGTGTTGGTAATTCATAACTTTAAAAAGAGAAGAAATAAAATTTCGTAGATATATTTTTATTTATTATAATACCGTTTCATGCTTAACATTTCCATTGGTAATCGATTCGAAAGTCGTTCAAATTCTGTCTTCATTATTTCCGTCTATTAATTAATGAGAAAAGAAAAACAACGAATTAATTCAAGTTAATCAAATTTAAAAATAAAAATTACTTCAAATGAATGATATAAAGGTTGACCGAGTTGTTCTAAATAATTTTTCGTTGGTTTATAACGACGTGTTTCATCTTCGACTAGACTCAGAGCCTAGAATGAAACATATTAATAATAATTTTTATAGGAAAAACAATATTAACTCACGGCTTCACGCGCACCTGGTTCATCATAACCACTATCATAATAAGGTAAAGCATCAACTACAACATCAGGTGGTGCTGGATGTCCATGAGTATGATTCGAATGATGTATAACAATTGCTGATGATGACATGTCTTAATGACAATAATTTTAACAATCCGATTGTAATGTAATTCAATAATAATTCAAAAAAAAGAAAGAAAGCATGGATAATAATTTGGACATATAAGCCACCAATAAACATAGAGTACGAAAGTGAAAAGAGGTCGCTCAAGAACAGTAAATATTTTGTACATGATTTTATACATGTATGTTAAAATTAATAGAATCTTAAAAGTCTTTCATTCTTATCATCTTATAATTTGATCTAGTTATTTATTAAAAAAAATGAAACCATTAAATACTTTACGATAATCGATAATATAATTTCTATAAGTATTATTACCTTTTCTGGATATATCACTTTGTCAAAAGAGTCTGTTATGACTCATACAGAAAAATAAGTGTTAATTGGTTACAAACAGTAAGTATTCGTACAGACATTTACAGTGAATATTGGCATTGTCGAAAAAAATTTCATTTAAAACTAATTTTATTTCCATCGGAGTAACTTTTTAATACATAAGAGAC